TATATGTGATATTTTTCCTATTTATTGTAATATCATAATATTAAAATCTATCATCTAATTAAAAATAATTATCTTGGATTTATTATATGTATAATAAATATTTAGTAAAATGAATTATCTTCAATATTAAAAATATTTAATATATTTTTAAGAAATTATAATAATACTTGTTTAAACTATAATAATGTATTAACCAATATTTTATCTTTTTTGAAGCAACATAAAATATATATGATAAAATAGAATAAATATATATTTTTGGTTGAAGAAATTTAATTGGACCAATATATTAAAAAAAATTATTAAAATGAACAAGTAAATACAACAATCTCTCTCTCTCTGTCTACATATATATATATATATATATATATAATCTAAGTTCAAATTTTATAAAATCAAACTTTATTTTATTACTTCTATATTTATTATAAAAAAACTAAATATTTATTTTCTAAAAATAGATGATAAAAATTTATTTAAAAATACATAATTCTTACTAATTACATATTAGATACTATTACTAAGAAAATAATTTTAACAAAAAAAAGATTAAAGAATAGTATATTTTAAAAAATATAGTTATAATAATTATAGTATTTTTTTTTAAAATATTAGAATTGATTCTATTAGTTTAAAAGGTTAAGTAAGCCAATTGGATATTATTTATTGTTTTGATAGAATTGATTGTTTGAATCATGTCATCTAATCTATTTTAGCTTGTAAAAAAATAGATTTTTATTACAATGGCTTCTATTCATAATCTAGTTTGAAGCAAATAAGTTACAAGAATTTTGACTAACTAAAATAAATTCAAACAACAAGTAACTTATAAATCAACAAAATGAAACCATCATAATATGTTTAATATGAATAATTTACTCCAATATGATTGTAGACAAGCATTGAGATGGTTTAATTTCTTAAAGATTGATATTTTTCATTCTAAAATATCTATATTAAAATAAAAAAAACTAATTAATACTTACATTATTTAGACTTTGATTGAAGTTTGATTTAAAATTTAATTAACAGAATTTTTTTAAGTATATTAAAAGATAAGATATAGTCACTATTTTCTTATCTTTACATATATTACTTATATTTTATAATACCTATAATAATGGACAAGTATGTTATTTATAAATTTTATTTTAGAATTTTTTAATACATTTGACACACTTGTGCTCTACTTCATTATGCTTCAGGTCTGCAAAGCCAACACATTCATTACTTTAAAATATTCTTATTTTAAAATTAACATTATGAAAATAATTCCATTATTTATATTTTTAAAAAATATCTTATAATATATTCATAAAATCAAATTAGACTTAAGTCGAATATTATACTTAATTTTTTTTAATTTTATTTAAATTCAACATGTATATTCACATTAATATGGTCTATTTTAATTTTTTATTTCATTTTATATTAAGATGTTCTTTTTTCTATAAAAAAAACATAATCTAAAGACTTGTTCTTGAGAAATTTAAAATTGCCATAATTTTATAAAATTATTTAAGATAACCTCAATTTCCAAAATTTATAGTTTTTTATATTTAAATAAAATATATTTAAATAAATCTTCTATTTTGAATATAAATCTACCTCTTACTATTCTTGTAGCTTGTTCTACTTTATTTGGTGGAAAAAATACAATACCTTCTATACACTAATATGCAATCTACTAAAAATCTTGACATAAATAATAGCTTTATAAGTACTTTATTAGCTTGTTTTATTTTATTTCTAAAAGACTTTCTTCTACTAATAATTTCTTATTAGAACCTTTAAACAAATTGTCTTCTACCATCAATGCTTTTTTGAATATTTATATTGTTCTTTTTATATTCACCAATACTATCTTATATGTATTTGCATTAAAAGAAATATTCTCTTGTATAACAAAAGATTTTCTTCTTTTTTTATTTTTTGCAACTTCTAATTAATAAATTATTTGATTAATTAAAATTTTATTTTACAAAGGTTTTAAAACATACCTCTTGTAATTCCTTAACTAAGTCTTTTTAGACTTTTGCTAGCTTAATTGTATTATTTTTATCCTCTATGTTATATTTTATTTTTTTAATCTATATTCTTCATAAACTAACATTAAATTTTTAAAAATCTTAAAAAATTTATTCTTAATACTTGATCTACTTTTTTTATCCCTTTTTGAATTGTTAAAAGATTTAGAAGTTTTTGTAAACTAAAAAGAAAATTCTATTGTATTCTTCTTAGAACTTAGCAATTTTTTTTACACTCTTGAGATATTATTGAATAACTATGTCTAGTACTATTGGTTTAAATTTCTACTCTAAACTAAAAAATCAGGAGCTTTTTTAATAGCATATTTCTCAAAAGTTAAGATTTTTCTTCTTCTTATAATGTTCCCAACCTCACTTACAACACTTTTATCTTATTATTAATTTTTTTATCTACTATTTTTTAAAATATATATATATATATATTAAAAAAATACTTTCATATTCTATTCTTATGTTTTTTTTAAAAGTATCATATATTCATTATTTATTCTTCTTCTTAAGATACATAGGTTCTTTAAATGCTTTTTTGTAGCTATATTCAATTCTATGTTATATATTTTTTCTAATAGTTTTAAGTGTACAACTATGACATTATTGTCCGTACTAAGTTCAAACCTCAACATCCTCTAAATTTTATTCTGAACAAAATCAAGTCTTTCAAGTTAAATCTTAGTGTCACTAATGCTATCTCAATTAAGAATGATACTAAGTTCTTTATGTTCTTGTTATTCATGTCGATCTAACTATCTTTGATAATTATCTACATTATATAATAACTTGATTAACTTGTCTATAGTGCTAAAAAAATAAATTTATTGATATTGCATAAAAATATGTTATATTGGTCTTATATGGAACCTATATTTTTACATTAGTTTAACTATTAATTTTTGGTATTATATTAAAAAAGTTACATATTCAAAAACTTGTATGATTTTAATAATTTTGATATGTATATATATATATATATATATATATATATATTTATCCAACTAAAGTTGCATAAGTTGCATAATACACACTATGAAGTAAAGAGACCAATGTATTAAGTTATATGTATAAAGGTGATTTAAAAAAAAATAAACAAATAAACAAATAAACAAACAAAGCTCTCTACTAAATCAAAATTTAATGATTTTATATTTTATTTTTAATATGTTATTTTTAAATTTTTAATAATATTAAATTTATATAAATAATAAAAAACATATATTATTAGATATTATTTTCAACATTTAAATGTTCTAATATTGATAAGTATTGATAGTTAACTTGTACATTAAAAAAATGTAAAACATTAAAAAAAAATTAATAATTTTAAAAAAGTATAATTTTTGAAATACAAATTTATGAAGAATAAAGTAAGATTTAATACTAAATATTTAATTGTATTATGTTTATACATTCATACATATTACATTACATTACAATATATAATGAAAAAAAAAGAATATATATAAAACATACTAGTATTAAATTGAAAAGAATTAACTTGCTTACCAAATATTATAAACTTTATATTTCTATATTTCTATATATATATATATATATATATATATATATATTTAAGAGAGGTATAGCCAGGCGGACACCTTCCTTTTATTGTGTGCACAACACCCTCTCTCTCAGGTGCCACACAACTTTGTGCACACAGTAAAAAAAAAATAGGATGAATTTACAATAAAAGATTTGTGTGCAATGGTTTACTATTATAATTATTATACTGAATTTAACAAAATTCTATTGTACATTTGTTTTCATCCATTCATTCAGTATAAAAGGATTATTAATTTTATTTAGAGAATCTTTTAAGCACAAAAGCTTAAATTATATATATATATATATATATATATATTAGAATTTGAAAATATATAATTTTTTGTTTAAAAATATACTAATAATATTAAGATTATTAAGTTTTGAAGGAATATTTCAATGAAAAAGAATTTAATAATATCCAAAAAGACATTCAAATATAAAGATCTAAAATATCCTTCCTTTTTGGGTTTTTCGGATTCATCAAAAAGTCGTTCCTCAAGACAACGTAATCAATTCAGCATACAAGTCCTCAAACAACCACTGAAAATATCTGTAAAAAGAATCAACAACTATATATATATATATATATATATATATTCTCAACATGGAAAATGTTGAGAAGAAACCGAACAAATCCATCAAGAGAAGACACAAACACACAATCTCGCGACATTATAAAACAAAAGAATCATGCCCTTTTTCCTGCTCAAAACCTGAGCGAAGAGACTGAGTATGCAGCCACGCAGACTGCATGCAAGTTGGTTTAACACCCTCAGTCCGAATCCGTGCTCTGGAACATCGTTGCCCACGTCGACGCATTCGCCGCTGCATGCGACTTCTGTTGCGAGATCAAACGCGTCGACGAGGCGATGCATTTCTACAACCTGCCCACGGCAGATTAAAGTGGAACCAACGGAGTCCATCTGATCTAGTTACTCGAAGGATAGATTTCTGGTTGTAACAGTCTGATCGAAGGATGTGATAGTGCCCCAGTTTCGGTTACAAGCATCTAGCTCACGTCAGACAAGGAAAGATTCACCGAACAGCATAAAAGTGCTTTTATGCAGTACGTGGAACAATAGCGTTACCCACCGACGATCAGAAAAGTTGCTTGAGAGTGACGAACGGCTGACTGAAGGCTCCCGTGTTATGACTGGCGAGATTGCAGAAGATATATTAGTTTAGGTGATGAAAAGAAACAAGTTTCGCATTCATGGGCGTTGGGTAAGAACATAAGCACGGGATGTAACTGCGAGCGTGTGACTTGGCATTGTAGACAGGTTACTGTTACTAAAACGGTGTATGCAGTGCATGAGGCGGTTGCATTGCAAAGAAGATTACATGGGTGGGTGGGATCGCATGTCGTACGACATTGTTTCTGAATGAAGCTGTGGTTCTGTTCTGCTCTAGCCATGCGTGACAATTTTTTTATTGAATTGTGGCATGAATGAATCTCCACAGGGTCGTTGATATCATTCTATCTGAACCATCACTGTCAGCTGCGACTTGAAGTTAATTCTGATCTATCTTAAATGCGAGATATGCCGCTTGGCACGCCAGCTGCAAGGATGTACAGCGATAAGGACGACTGCGACCAGTGTCTCGAAAAAAATGCAAGCAATATTTAGTTCGTTGATTGGGTCCAACAGCTCCGACAACGGTGCCGCTTATACTCCAGTGGCTGGACGGTAAAGAGATGTGAATGATTCAAATTTCAAACTATATGTGAAGTTTGTCAGTAAGAAACCACTATTAATCAAATGTGATAAACAAACTACAACCACTTTCCATCGTTAGGTAGCAATATCACGCTGCCTGAGAGAATACCTGACTTAAACTAGAATTGCGGCACGAGTTATACTTGCGAAGTAAACTCGGGTTGCTTCCGTTCCAAGCATAACAAAGGGAGTTGTACATTGAGTGCTCCAGTTTGAATATTGGCCTCAACTTTGATGGAGGCCCGAAGATCACGTAATCCACCCTCCATTCTGATGAGCATTGTGGAGTTAACCTCGAAGCCTTGAACATCTTCGTGTAATGAACCTCTATTGTGGAGTCCGAAGTCGATTTGAACCATACATGACTGTTGTCTGAATTGCTTCGGTCATTACGCCTCAATTCTTTTACCTGAGTAAAGCGATCGATACCATGTGCCCCGAAGCTTCATCATAAAAGAATGAGCAATTACAAGTGGTGACTTGTTCAAAGTAGATGGATGACTCCAGCCAAAATCTTGGCCGGGAGTCATGCATCTCCTCTCACCAGTTAAGATGTCAGCGTTCAAAGCGGTCTTGCAGGCGCGTCATGTAAAGCCGAAGTAGCAGGTCTTTGAGGTCGCCGACCATATGTAATCACCATGACCACGTCTCCGACATGTGTAACAGATCCATCTGGGGCCTTCCAAGCCTTGCCTTCGGACAATAATTGGGGAGTGCTTGGATCAACAACATGAGTAATTGGGGCTTGCCAAATACCATCCCGTACTTGTTGCAGAGGAATACTCGGTACTAGAGACTGCCCTTTACAAGTGAGCTCCACCTACACATGTCCAACAGTAGAATGTTAAGTCCGCCTTACATCTTCAAATATTTCCTCCAGAGGTTTTGCAAATCCTACCAAACCCAGAGCAACAGAATGGCATGCGGATGATATTAAGAGCAATACTGTTTTGTTCGGAATCTGGCGGTTGTACCTCATCCTCACTATCTAAACCCAGTTTGTTCGCCAGATATTTCTTCACTGCTGCCACTGTCATGTTGCCATCTCTGTCCAGATTCACAAATAGTGGGAAAATTAATTTAGAGTAAGGAATCCACTGGAATAAGCAGGGAGTAATAACGATTGTTCAGAAGACAAACTCGGTAAACTGTAGATGCCATCTAGATGTTACAGTAGACAGCAGCAGCGTGATGTCACCACATGATCGAGATCGCATTAAGAGACTTACACGACTCGTATGTATCCAGTTGGTATCTGCTGCGTCGGGGAAGCTTCTGGCCTGCATTCAAGACAGTGAACACGCCCCATCAACAGACCTGACCAAAACTGCAGACGATAACTTAGTCCACGTAGTCAAAACGTCAGAAAGTATCCGAATCCTGGATTAAGCGAGAACTCTACAAGAGGAAGAAATCCACGTTTCACGGGATTCTGCAAGCTGCGCAACTGCCTGTCGGACGTCAATCTGAACAGGCCAGGGTATCAAGAGCAGCGTCGGCCACGTAGTTTACAACACATTCTCCCAGATGCATGTCAAGCTGGCTCAGGTCTCAGCATGTATGGACAAATGCATCACTTCCAGCACATATGAACAAAAACCTGGGCGCTAGACTAAAATATGCAGCCCTGTTAAAGTCAGTCAACTAAGTGTTTAGACAAGCCGAAGCCTTGGTTAACTTACTGGGAACTTGATGCTTGGAGGGTGAACCACAAGCCAGGTCGGGGAGCGTGGGGACGCAAGATTCTTCTTTGCCTCTCCAAAGAAGCTGCAGGTGCTCGTGCTCGCACCTTGCTTCCACTACTTGAAGGTGTACCGAGGAACCTTGACAAGCTTGCATCTGTGCGTGGGTCGAAAGCACGACCCGGTTGAGATCGTTGTGCTGGTGGGAACATAGTGGCTCTGTGCATGCGTTGGAGCTCGGTGAGAGGCTCTTCCTTGGCTCCCTGGTGTCACCACAATCATTTCAGTCAGCACAAGAGAGTCCTTTCATTATATATTGTGATGATCTTGAATAGAAGATGTCCTTTCGTCCGAATTTGACACGACAGTTCTGGCGGGCACCTGGTCATGAAGTTCATCTACACTACGCAGTAGAAAGCACAATTTGCATTCAAACTGAGATGCAAATCGTAACGCTACGATCCAGCACATGGACAACACCACGAGCTTGCGAGTCTTCCAGAAACTCCCCTTTGCCCTTTCGATTTTTTATATGTCTGAGGTCTTATTAATTCACATGTATTTGCAGTATTAAAAGCGTGTCCAATTGCTTAAGTAGTAAGCATTTAGCCATTCACCAATACACCTGTAGCTCTCGATGCCCTAGTACTGAATTACTAAGGTACATTGGTACCTATACACAGAAAAAACTTTGAAAACGCTACTTGTCTTGTCGACGACTCCGACCACACCACTCTAACCATTTAACCATTTTTATATTTTAAAGAAAAACTTTGGTAAATGAACCATATTCGTCACATCCGAGAGCTAAACGAATAGTGTCCAGTGGCGGTTCCAATGCAAGAAAGAACCCGATGATTCTGATTTGAAATTTTCTTGCCAGTATGCACATTCGAGACACCGATCACTAGCATTCTATGAGCCACGAAAAAGGAATCGATACTATCGATCGCGCTGCCATCACTCAGGTCCGAACGACGAGCTGTTAAAACGAAAAATCGTAACATATTAAATGTGTACATAGCTCAAGGTTTTCCAAGCTTAAGTACAGAGACAAGTTCTAGTGAAGGCCTGCCCAAGAATGGGACATCGAGATCGAGACGGGATGATATCTTGAGATGGCTCGATCACGAGCCATCGCATTCTATTCGATCGATTGGGCGATGTCATGAAGTGTCACCCTGACACCGGGACTTTCATCTACATTATTAAGCGACCTGAACAGCAAATCTAGATAGAAAGTGCACCTCTTTTTCTTGTGGGACTATATCGAGTAGGAATGATTAAGGATGGTCAAAATCATGCAGCAAGAAAATACCTGATCGGAACCCTGGAACCTTTCAACGGCACGTTTGAGAGCTTCCATGTACTCTTCACGATCCACACAAGGCATCATCAACTCCGCTGCTGGCCTCTGGCTTGAAGGAGATGCTCCAAAACCGCTGGGCATATTCAGAGTGTTGCCACCAACTCGGTGCAGCAGGTTACGCCAGGCCAGCTCGGGATCCACGCCCTGCGCATGAGGCGATTGCACGCCCAAAAGCGACGTCGAAGCCCCCCCGCTACCACCAGGTGCAGATCTCATCCTATCTCTGAACGCTAATTGATTTGCCACGTTCAGCAGTTCGGCTACATTCGGGGGTGTTTGTGGGGGATCGTGGGAGCTCGGCATCCAGGGAAGAGGCGCCGCAGGCCCCGTTTGAAATTCGTCGCGACTATGACCAGAACTAGGACCAGCACCAGTGTAACTTGCGGGATGCCCTGATGACCTCCAGGCATTGACGGAGGTAGTGTCTGTTTGCTCGGATCTGAACTGCTGCAGGACTCGAGCGGTATGAAATGGCAAGGTGGATAAGTTTGAGAACGTCGGTGGGGGGTAACCTCTCTGCAAAATTGGAATTGATGGTGACAAGAAAAGTTCAGTGTTACCGCCAGACGCAGGTGCCGGCTGCACCACACGTGGGGCTTGTACGCTAGAATCGACCCAGCTAGAATCTTTGCTGCGTGGCCGTGGTTCCAAAAATAAGGGTCTGGAAAGTCCTGATCGATGACTAGACTCGGGATTCAAGTCCGGATAACGCCTAGAGGTTTCTCCAGAGTGTGTGGATGCAGCCAGTTGAGATCCGTATGGAGAAGAGGTATTCCTCGTGGACGTGCTCCCGTGCACATCTACGGGATGTTGTCTTGACGTCTCTTCATTCTCTGAGCTACCACCAAACTTGAAAAAATCTCTGATACCGAGTTGCAGCAGGTCAGTGGAACTGGTCGGGGAATTTAGTATGGGGCTTTGCTGCTCTTCACTTGGTTCGTCTTCTGCAGACTCATCAGATTGTCGACAATTACCTAGACTCAACTTCAACCATTCGCCAGAGCCACTAGCCATGGTCTTCCTCTTGCGGGAGGGCTGTCGGATGCTCAGCTGCGGTTTAGAACTATTGACTGATTTTTTATCTTGAGATTCCTTCCAAATGCGACGTGTAGAAAGCAAAAATTGCGAAGTAGATTGTGTGTCATCACAACCCGGAGATTCAATACCTTGCGGAGAAACGTTCTGTGTTGAGCTAAAGTGCAATTCCGACTGCCGTCGCTCCGAAACCTGATCTACATTTTCCTGCTCTACCTGCTTATCATCAGAAGTACGTTGTGGCGAGGCTACTTCAGGTGTGCCTCGACTGGCGGACACATGAGCACCACTGTCAATGTCCTCCAGTGTGCTTGATTTAGGACTATCTAAATCTGCCATATGCTGCTCGGCTGTCAGGTCGGAAGCTTCACAGGCTTCCAAACTCGAAATCTCTGCTATAGGTTCAGACTCCAAGAGTGCGGAATGTGTTTCCAAACCATCTGCGAGCTTACACCCGAATCTTCTCCTCTTTAATGGTGACGACCAGATTGACAGTGTCTTCGGTTCCTGATCAGAAGCAGGTGTGCAAACATTGGCAATCGTGATCTGCATGTCATCAACCTGGATCCTTTCCTTCGTCATGCACCCAATAAATCTCCGAGTGGTTTCCACAGGAAGGGGCACCCGAACCGTTGAAACACCACTATCCTCTGGTAAAGACATGTGGGAAAGTGCTTCGTCGGCGATCGAGACTCCTTCAACTTCCGGCAATCTGTTGTGGCATTCAGGAACTTCAGGCAGATCATGGTGTACGATAGTGTTCGGAAGGAAGGTGCAATCTAGGGCAGATGGTCTCGCGTCCTCTAGTTCCCGCTGTTCGGCCTCCGACCTGTCATGACACCATTCCCAAGACCCATTCCTTGAAAATCGAGTCATCTGGTCAACTTCATCCGAATATGAAAAGTTCAATGGTAGAAGCGCTACGACTCTACGGGGCACAATCCTACTCTAAAGCGTTCCTGAAATACTAGGCAAAAATCCAACTCCACAGGAAGGCTTGAACAGACGGTTCTGTTAAGCTCCTTTCAAGAACATGTAGCTTTCTTTGAGCGCTCGACACTATCACTAAGAGGGAGAGGAAAATCCACTAGCCCTGCGATGGTTGCTCCCCCCCCCCTGCAACGGAAGGAAGATCTTGCAAACCGTGCACCCACCCCACTCATTGACGTGAGGGAGTACTGCCAATTGGATAAGGACCTTTCATTTTAAATAGTTTTAATTGAAAAACAAAGGAAATTGTACCACAGACAGACGACGATCTCTTTGTCGCCGTGGAAAGGAGGTGAATGCGGTGGTGATAAGAAGAGTGTTGGACTACATCGACTTACCTGTGCACCATTCATGACCCACGACTGATAATCATGTTCCGTGCACTTCAAGCCAGTGGTCGGCACTGGAAATCCGGTACCAACGAAAATAAGATCATAGGACTTTCGGTGATATATCACACTCTCCCTCGCGAAGGGCGGCAATGTTACGAGACTGTAAGCGGAACGAGATGTTACCAGCTGATTGAATTGCATACCTGGGACTAGCTTCGCCTGCTTCCTCTCGATTCAACGTGAAGCTGCGAGCAATAAAAGTGTCGCTTGTATCGAACGGAGCTCGAGTCCACATGCTGAAGAATCACCTGTGAGCACCCCGCGGCCATGAAATGCCCTACTTTCTCTCTACAATCAGGCTCATATCTCCCATTCGGATACAAATGTAAATCTTCAAGGCCAACTAACACAGAAACTGCACAAATGCGCAACGCTTTCCCAGCTCGAGTACAAAGCTCCAGCTTCATCATCCTCCTCCGCGACGTCTCACATAAGCGAATGTGCCAAAAGAGTATTTCCCGGAACCATTGCAGCCTCAGTTTCTTCGAGGATCAGACAGCAAGGCATTCATTCATGGTCCACCAGACTCGGCGGTCATGTGCACAGCGCACGTCCGCTGCAGTATGGACGATCTACAGCTAGCTAGTGAAGACAGCTACTCTTTGCAGCAAAGATATTGACATTTTGACTTGTGTCGGAACGTGGACATCCCACGGGTATGTGCGTAAAGCACAGTAGGTGAATTTGGAAACACCTATTTGGAGAAGAAGGGGAAGAAGAAAAACAATAAGAGGACAAAAAAAAATAACAAAAACGAAATCGAGACCGAAAATATTTTTAAAAATAAACACAGAAAAGTTCTCACTGAGACTAGAAATGAGAGTGTACAGGAAAAACGATTAGAGCCGGTAAGGGGGGTGAGAATAGGACACTGATCATTCAGACCCTTCGTTCCTGGCAGGAGTAAAATTTTCTACAAACTCATTCATGAATTCAAAATGTGCTTGTCTCGCTCCAAGCGATGAAGACCGCCACCAAAAGATCGCTACAGATAGAAAGACGCAGAAAACCTACGGGCCTATAACGTGTGGCTGCAAAGTGGCAAGAACGTTGTCGACAGAGTCAAAGTGGCTAAGCACAAGAGCCTCGTTCTAGACTAGATAATCAATGGCCAGCTTCTTCTTCTGCTGCTTCTTCTGCTTCTTCAGCAGGTCAAAGAAGCTCCATGCGAGAAAAAGGGCAGAAATCCAACCACATGGACAGTGATTCGAGTACTGAACTCAGGCCCATCTCCTTCACTCATCAAACCCTTGACCCACGATGGCGTCCATCGCAACTAAATCAGACCCAAGCCTGTCATTCAAGTTGTTGCAGCAGCAGAAGTGGGCACATGTATGGGTCCCGTAGGCGTCCAAGGCTAACGTAAGCCGGCCACTACAGCCCGCCAGCCAGCCGGAGGACGAAAAAACCAAGATCAACGCTTACTTTATATCATGAATTTCTACACTAACCCTGACACTCTCTCTCTCTCTCGCCCTCTTTCGCACTCCTCACTCCATCTACCTACTCTCTCTTCCTTCTCTCTCTCTCTCCCCTTATCGTGCATGACTATGAATCTTCGTGATGACTCAGGCAGGCCGGCTTGCAAAACCATCTCACTCTCTCTACACCCCCCAATATTTTCTGTTAAGAACGGATTAAAGAAAACCTGGACGCGCTCTCCGCTATGTGTCACCGTTTCGAATGCGTTGTATTATACATTCAGTCCAGCGGAAGGGAAAGGGGGTGGGACGGGGGGAGGGGGGGAGGGAGGACCCGGACGAAGGTAGAGGGACGCAAGATGAGGTGGGGTAGTACTAATAATCGGCAGCATAAGACTGAAGGAGGTGCGTGAAAAGCATGGTTAGTTGTCGGTGGCAGTTGTCTGTGATGGCGTATTCACCTGGTCGTTTGTAATTACGTCTCTTCCTCGAGATTAGGCGGGACGCAGATCCACTAGATCATTCCCACCAGCACTCACTCGCTCGCTCCCTGCCGCTTTTTAATCCCCATCATCGGCTCCGCCCATGACTGAATTTTACTCCAGCTCCGACTTTCTTACCCTTCCCGCATCCCCTGCATTGACGACGTTCGTCCTCACCTTCAGACAGTCATGCTCGATGATGTCACAGGGGCTAAGTTTGGCACCACTGGACCTTTATTCGTCAACTGTGCATGACGATGCCCCGAACTGGAAGCTGATCTAGTTTTACTAGCCCAGCTGCGGTGAATGATTTCTCACCCTACCCCCCGCTGCCCTCTTTCTGTTTCTGTTCCTCTCCTCCCCACAGATCCTCTTGGGCTCCATGAAGAAGCTGGAGCCTCGAATTACCTCGAGCAATCAATCCACCCCCGCCAGCAGCTCCAGCAACAGCAGTCTCCGACGTCTGCAACAACTGCGCAGCTCCTTCGCTCCACTCCACTCCATCCCACTGCACTGCACTTCACTCAACAGTCTCTCCTTTTCCCGTATTCCTCTCCTTTCTCTTTTCTGGTAATCAAGCTTTTCTATCTTTCTGCTACTGTTCCTGTTTCTTTACCCTTTCCCTCTACCTGTGTTGTTGTTACTGTTGCTAACTTTGTCGATAATGTTGGTATTGTTCGTTCGTTCGTTCGTTCATTTGTTTGTTTGTTTGTTTTTTGTGGTTCCTATAATGGAAACATCCACCCCCCACTCAGATCCTCCCCACGATCATGTCATGTGTATTTCCACGTCTGCCGATAAAAGAAAAAGAATCAAAAAACAAAAAAACAAAAACAAATTCCTTCCTCGCTCACCCCTCCTCCCCACGGGCATGGGGCATGGGGCATGGGGGTCTTATAATCAGTTGTGGGTATTCTATGTGTTGTGGAGCACTTTCTTTCCTATTAGGAAATAACACAAAGTTGGAATACTTGGTTGCCTTTGTGTTCTAACTTGCACGTGCTCCATAAACTTGCCCTTGTGTTCTTAACTTAACATGCTTGATCTGTGATGTTCCTTACCAAGATATATTATATTATATCAACTTAGTTACCAAAAAAAACCTGGATGATTAGTTTCAGTTGTGGTCCTTTATTTATACTTATGGTTGATTTCTTACTTATTTCTGGTTGAATTTTTCTGGTTGAAAAATGAAATATTGATTGAATAAAATATTCAATATAGGAGTTACAATTAATATTTCATTTTTTCACTTTATTCACTTTATACGTGGATCCATAAGTTTGAAATACCATTTGGAAACTCCAATTCTGTCAAACTCATTTTTGCAATGTGATTAGCACTTGACTTTTTCACACACTAAGGAACCAAGAATATATATGTAGATACATCAGTATGTCATTTATTTATATTTTCACAAGTTCTCACCTCATTGGTAGTTTCTTACCTACTGTATTTTCTCACATTGAAGCTAACCTTTCAAAAAATAAATATATAAATAAATAAAGGGTATAAATTTCAATCAATAAACATGAAAAATCTGACCTTCAAATGAATAGATCAAATGTGAGATACACTGGAAGCACTAGCATATTTGTAGATTTAAAAATTCCTAAGCATTGAGCATGGATATGCCTAATGTCAAATACCAATGGTGGGAAAGGACATCCAATTTGTTGCTAAATTAAATTTATTTTAGGTATTATAAAAATAAAAATAACTCACAACCATTTTAAGATCATTTTTATACTAAGACTACATTGACCCCTTCAACACACAGCTCCAATGTATGAACCACTCCTTAAACATGCACTAAAGTCATTGTATATTGTGTATGTATATATGTGTGTGTGTGTGTATATATATATATATATATATATATCAATGTGTGAATGTATGAACCACTCCTTAAACATGCACTAAAGTCATTGTATATTGTGTATGTATATATGTGTGTGTGTGTGTATATATATATATATATATATCAATGTGTGAATGTATGAACCACTCCTTAAACATGCACTAAAGTCATTGTATATTGTGTATGTATATATGTGTGTGTGTGTATATATATATATATATATATATATCAATGTGTGAATGTATGAACCACTCCTTAAACATGCACTAAAGTCATTGTATATTGTGTATGTATATATGTGTGTGTGTGTATATATATATATATATATATATATATCAATGTGTGAATGTATGAACCACTCCTTAAACATGCACTAAAGTCATTGTATATTGTGTATGTATATATGTGTGTGTGTGTATATATATATATATATATATATATATCAATGTGTGAATGTATGAACCACTCCTTAAACATGCACTAAAGTCATTGTATATTGTGTATGTATATATGTGTGTGTGTGTGTGTATATATATATATATATATATCAATGTGTGAATGTATGAACCACTCCTTAAACATGCACTAAAGTCATTGTATATTGTGTATGTATATATGTGTGTGTGTGTGTGTATATATATATATATATATATCAATGTGTGAATGTATGAACCACTCCTTAAACATGCACTAAAGTCATTGTATATCGTGTATGTATGTATGTGTGTGTGTATATATATATATATATATATATCAATGTGTGAGCAAGAAGAAGTTTTGCACTTTGTCTGCATTGAGGTTGACAACATAATTGTACCATTGTACTTTGGTTTTGCTAGAGGAATCACACCCCAATTTTCAAGCAGGAAATGGCACAAGCCTAGGTCAACCTGGGGAAGGCAGTGCAAATAAAAAACAAAAAAACAAATACAAATACATGGCAGAAACCATAAGAATAAATAAATAAAGATGAAGAAGAAAGGAAAAAGAAGGCTGACTGGGCCGAACAGAGCAGGCAGCATAAATGTCGAATATTCGTTCAGTTACTATGGCCTTCATCCACAAATGCATTTAATGTCTCCATTCTCGACGCTTAGTGGAAATAAGTAAAGTAAAGCATGTGTGTGGATATAAGTAAAGTAAAGCAAATAGTGTGACAATGAAAATAGTGTGGCAAAGCACTGGGAACTGTGTCATCCTTTTGGGCAGACTTTGAAAAGGTTGTTGTGCTGCCCAAGTCCAGATGCTCTCTCCCTCATCCTCTCGTGCTGCTTTGGACCATCTTCATGAGCTTCACTTTGCCTTAATATACTGCCCCCCTTTATTGTGTGCCCTGCAAAGAAGACGATGGAAAAAATATAATATAATATAAAGGATCATTCCTTGCTTTCTAATTTCTGTTTACTTTTATTTTCTATTGTATTTCCATGCATCATTTCTCACATGCATTTTGTGACTTTCATAGGGTTGTTAGTGACATTCAACTCCATCTAGCATGCAAATTAAAAGGTAATTACTTTCTGATTGCTTATTGTAAGTTGATCTCTACACATACACCTGGTTGTATCAGTACATGCTTCAACGCCATTTGCCAAATAAAATAAAATTATGCAACAATAGAATCACATCACAAATTTGTCCATAATGAAATTAACAACAATGATGTTTAGCATTGTTATTATTATTAGCAATATTGGGTTTGGTTTTACTTTGCACTTTCTGTCTCAGCTATCTCACTCTTCAAGGAAAGACAAATGCATGTCAAACATTTAAAATTTATGCTACTGTAATGAAAGAACAGGAGTGGATTGAGTTATTAATTGAATAAACTAGAGACACTTAAATTGCATATGACTCATCCAAAAAAAAAAGCACTTGACACCTTCATTTTGTGTGCTAAATGTAACTCGAGTACTTTGTAGAAACTAAGTTTTTTGACCTGTACAAAAACATTTTTTTATTTATTTATCTTGGTTTCAGATGACTTTGATTATTGGAACCTAGAAAAATCTCAGTCATTTTTTAATTTTTTTATGAGAGGAATTCTATCTATCTATATATATATATATAATACTTTTATTTTTCTATTTCATTCTGAAACATTTAGTTCGTGTAATTCATTTCCAATCAAAGCATAAGTTTTATGAATTTATTGTGGGCAGCTTTTGATGAGTATTAAAAAAAAAAAAATCCAATCACTCATTGGATTAATTTTATGTTCATAAAATCAATAGGTCGTTTAACCCAAAAAAAAAAAAGCAATTTTTTTTGTTATATAGTGATAAAAATTTATTCATTGTAGACACTTTTATTGAGAACTTCCATTTGTCACCACCTCCACTCCTATACTTTTGACAAAAATCCAACTTCAAAGATGTAATGAACATACCCAATAAGAGCAAGCGACAATTCACAAAAGAAATTTCTAGATATCTAAGCAACACACACACATACCCATATATATATATATATATATATATATATATAGATACTTAAAGGGCTCTTTCTGTCCAATATGTACGTTCCCCCTGTTCACGTTCTCATGTTCCCCATCTTTAAACTCTAATACACTAAAAGGAGAGTCCATCTCATGAACTACCCAGCTAGCAAAATTCATGGCATTCATTCTTTCCTCCTCCTTAATTTCTATTTTAGGGCCTTTTAGTGAATGTCTTCCTTTATTCCGTTTGACCGAAACCCACTCTGCCATGCAGGAAATCAAGGGGAATTCGGCCGATTTAGACCAGGGAACCCACTATTTATTCATTCAGCAGTTCATTTTTTTCTGTTTTTATTGTTGTTGTTGTTGTTGTTGTTTGTTTTTGGGGTGGGGCAAGGGCAGTACGTGAAGAAATACTACCCCTCCCCATGCACACGCACACAGCAGCAATGGCACATGAAAAACAAAACCCTTTGCAACGCTGGACCTGCCGCTGCTACACCTCGTTTTATTATTCTATTTAATTGCAAGCTTT